TCTTTCTTTCTCTCTTCCCTCCTCTGGATTCAATGGGATTTTTAGAAAATCCCCACTCCTGTGCACACACTCCCTCTTTCTTTCTCTCTTCCCTCCTCTGGATTCAATGGGGTTTAGGAAATCCCCCCACCTCACACACTCCCTCTTTCTTTCTCTCTTCCCTCCTCTGGATTCAATGGGGTTTAGGAAATCCCCCCACCTCATACACTCCCTCTTTCTTTCTCTCTTCCCTCCTCTGGATTCAATGGGGTTTAGGAAATCCCCCATCCTCATGCACTCCCTCTTTCTCTCTCTCTTCCCTCCTCTGGATTCAATGGGGTTTAGGAAATCCCCCATCCTCACACACTCCCTCAATGGGGTTTAGGTCCTCACACTTGGCTAATAAACTATTCTACTCTACCCTACTCTACTCTACTCTACTCTACTCATTTCTATTTCAATTCTAATAAGAAATTTAGTTTCTCTCTCTTGAAAATGTAAGCTAGCATAATGCAAGCTAGCTTTAGCTTTCAAACAGTTCATTTAGTAATCAAGGTTACAACGGCATTGAAAAAAGTGCCTGATGACCATTTTTCACACTTAGCAACCATTTTTCATACTTAGCGACCGTTGAAGCATCCTCATGGTCACGTGATCAAAATTTTGATGTTTGGCAACAGACTCATATTTATGATGCTTTCAGTGTCCTGGGGTCATATAATCGCCTTGTGTGACCTTTTGATAAAATATAAAAATTTTAATCAAGCCGCCCCCCCCCGCCCCCGGTCAATGGTGTCCCTCTTTACCAATCTGAAAATCGGGTCACCTTAGTCTTCATGTAACAACCCCCCAAAAAAATAATAATAATAATAATAATAATATAAACACACCCACAATGAGATGGGAACTACATGTAGAAAATGTTTTCTGCCTGCCTTCTACTGAATTAATTTTCAGAACAGCAACAATCATGTAAATGTAAGAAACAAGTGTGATTAGAAATGAGCTAAGATTAGCTGCTGACAGTGATATATGGATAATGATGTAATTAGGCAGAGTATCTTTACAAGACAAGGCCAAGAATGAAGGAAGCTCACAAGCATAGTGTCTGATTATATTGTTGCTGCAAAAGTGAAGATTTACCAAAGGAAGTGCATTCACCATAGAATGAAAGAATCCCAGGATCCAAGCTCCACCAATCATTTTACAACATATCTCTCTTGTCAAGTATCGGCTATAATGCAGTGGGTCACATATAGCCACATATTGGTCATAACCATTGCTGAGAGGATAAAAATTTCTGTGCAACCTGTTTGGAAAGTGAAATATATCTGTCCAATGCATCCTTCCCAAGAAATAGTTTTCTGCTTTGTTAGAAAGTTTGCTAGCATCTTGGGAACTGTGACCGAAGAATAGCAGATGTCAACAAAAGCTAAATGACTGAGAAAAAAAGAACATAGGGGTCTGAAGGTGAAGCTCAGACTTGATAACTGATATAATTAAAATATTTCCTATGATGGTGACCAAAAAAATGATCAAGAACAAGAAAAGAAAGANTTCTCTGTGTGCATGTGTCTGTTTGAGAGAAGGGGGAGGGAAGGAGGGGGAGAGGGAGGAAGAAGGGGGAGGGAGAAGAAAAAGAATGAAGGAAAACTTATTTCACAAATGAGAAAAAATGCTGCCACTTTAAATCGGAACTGAACATGCCTGGCTGTGGAATTCTGGAAGTTGAAGTCCACAAGTCTAAAAAAATTCAAAACACCTGTGCCAATGCCTCACCAGCCATAAACCTCACTGCACGTCACTGGGTAAACAGTTTTATTTAATATGGTTATTTATTAGAATAGATTTCTGCCTTTCACTATTAAAAGAATTTGCAGAATTTTCTCAGAGGAAGAATGCATTACCTTTCAATACAGAGGACACATTGGAAGATTTGCTCTCTTCCATTTGAAGTTTTGGCAGAAGAGAGATGCGCCCTATCAGATTTTAAAGATAACACATAGGTTGGCATGAAGATTTTGGCTTGAAAGTGTTTGTTCTTTGAAGAATGTATATATTGAAGAAGATGGAGTCCCCGGTTTGTGGGTTCTGGCATGACTGTAAGTTTGAGATTTAAGTTGGCATAAAGAATCTGATATAAAGATTGTACAATGCCTTTCCTGACAGTAGAGGTTTTGTGGAATCATTGATAACATTCTCATAAAATCTGAAATGTATACAAATGCACTGAAAACTGGGAACATCTACAAAAGAAGAAGAAAAAAACATTTCAACCCTTTCCCCACTATCATTGTTCCATACTAGATATAACTTTTTATAATTAAATTTCTAAGGTCATGGAATACATTTGTACAATGTTGAACATAACAATGCTAATATAAGTATTAATTAAAAGGTGAATTACACCACTAATTTGATACTTGAAGACAGGGGACATGACTATACAGAGTAAGCAGCTGAAGCAAAGAAACTTTAGATACATGAATTAGTTGTATTCATTTGTTGAATCATAATAATGTTTAATAACATATATAATGTTATTATATATATATATATATATATATA